AGCCCCGGTAAACCTCATCCCACGAGGAATAACGGGGCTGCCGACAAAGGGCTTTGATGTCGACAGGGGGAGCATCCAGACTAGCGTGCTGAGCCGGCAAACAGCTGATCAGCTGTTTGTCAGCTCAGCGCAGCAGCCATGTAAATTTAAATAAAACATTTAAATCGTGGCTTCATTTGCCTTTGCATATCTGTCTAATCTACATGGCTCCATCGATGGAGCCATGTAGGCTAGACACAGCCTAAGTGTAAGAAAAACAGTTCCCAGAAAACAAACTTGATTCATGGAACCGTTTCTTGATTCAATGAATGGGAAATGCTTAAATAAAGCACTTACCATACTGGCCTTTTGTTTGTGCTAGATGCCTGAGCAATTCAAATCACACAACCATGCTAGTCTTCTGGGACAAAGAAATATCATGAGCTTTAATAAGGGTAAGATAAGATTCTTGGGATGGAAGAATCCCAAGCACTGTTACAGGCTGGGGACCAACTGGCAAAGTAGCAGTTCAGCAGAAAAGGACACGGGGATTACAGTGGATAAGAAGCTGGACATGAGTCAACAGGGTGCCCTTGTAGCCAAGAAGGCTAACAGAATATTAGGGTTCATTAGGAGGAGCAATGTCAGCAGATCCAGAGAAATGATTATTCCCTTTATTCAGCATTGGTCAGTCCACATCTGGAGTATTGTGTCCAATTCTGCCACTCCTCTCCATACAGATGCATTGGAGAAAGTCCAGCGGAAGGCAACCAAAATGATTAGGGGCCTGGAGAACTTGACTTACAAATAGAGGCTGAGGGATTTGGACTTGTTTAGTCTGCAGAAGAGAAGAGTGAGGGGGGATTTGATAGCAGCCTTCAACTTCCTGAAGGGAGGTTCCAAAGAGGATGGAGAGAGGCTGTTCTTAGTGGAGATGAATGGCAGAACAAGGAGCAATGGCCTCAAGTTACACTGGGGGAGGTCTAGGTTGGATATTAGGAAAAACTATTTCCTTGGAGGGTGGTGAAGCACTGGAAGGGGTTCCTTAGGGAGGTGGTGGAATCTCCATCCCTAGGGCTGTGTCTAGACAGGCAAGTGCTTTTGTGGAAAAGCGTCCGTGCCAATCTAGACGCTCTTTTCCGTTAAAAGCATTTGCGGAAAATCGTGCCAGTCTAGACATAGCCTAGAGGTTTTTAGGTCCCGGCTTGACAAAGCCCTAGCTGGGATGATTTAGTTGGCGTTGGTCCTGCTTCAGGGAGGGGTTGGACTCGATGACTCCTGACATCTCTTCCAGCCCTAGGATTCTAAAGCTGCTACTGGGCTGCTCCAGTTTGTTTACTTACCAGCTCCGCAGTCACAGAGCCTCATGTCTCTCATTGGCTGTGGTTTGCCGTTTGAGAAACACAGATTTAAACCTTTTACCTAGCATCATAGTCTGGAATTTAAGTGGCAGGATTGCGTATAAAAAAATCAGGTATCTATAGGTAATTGTGAAGTATGACTTTATTTTGCACAAATAAATCCACAAGCAAACAAACTCTTCAAACTATATAGTAGATATGGATACATACACATATTGGATATATCCTTTTGTATAGCTTCCTTCACTTCTCTTCTAAACTGGACTGGCTTTTCCAGCATAGCCTTCTTCGAGACTTTTTGAGTATCTAGTAAAGATATTAAAAGATTACCAATTATCATTCACATTTTTCAGATTAAATTCTAATTCCCACCTGACTGGGCTTATAGTTTTTTTCATCTTTGTGAAGCTGGCCCTGTTGAAGTGCTTAGTGTGATAAAGCACCAAACACAAGGATATATGTATTACTGGTCTGGAGCGGAATCTGCTGTTTTTACCAGGACTCCCCCCTTCATGTCCCACGTGGCGTTTGGCTGCCCTGACTTTCCTCACACTATGCTTGGCATTGCTGGTAGGGCTGTTAATCCTGGGAATCATGTGTAAGTATCAATATTTTATTTATTCGTTAATTTGGTGCTTGTAAAAGATGCTAGTTTGACCCACCCTTTCTAGTCGGAAGTTGATGAGTTAAGTATTGCAAAGATACAACATGGGCAGTAGTAATATTAATTTTCCAGACACACCCACATGCCCACCAACAGGTGAGACAAAGGGGGTATTTGCTCCAGGGCCTGGCATTTCAAAAGGGCTCAGAGCTCCCAGCAACCAGCACTGCTGCAGAACGAATCTGCAGAGTCCCTTGGAATTGCCGTAGGAGTGCCACTCTGAGGGCTGGGGGCAGGGCCAGTGTCATGGTCCAGGCGGTGCCAAAGGCTGACTGCCCTCGGTCCCACCCCTTCCACCTGAGGATCCACCCCTTCCAGGGGCATGGAGACAACCCCACACACACTTTGCCCCCAGGCCTGCTGTGGCTATTGGCCTTGCTGCTCACCCATGAACGTATTTTATCTTGGCTATGCTGGAGTCGGATTACTGCTACAAGTAGCAATCTCTACTTACGTTGCCACCGGGGACTTTCTTGTGCCAGCTGGGGTAATATTATTTTAATGTAAAAACCAGACCTTTTAGGAACTGGAGTCACAGCCATTAACTAATTTCCACAGAGCATTTCTCAGGTAGGGATGTCTGTTGGTTAATACTGGCCTATATTGGATACAAATTAGTGACAGATAGCGAAAGACTGTACCCATTAACAGGCTAGCTCCTTTTAAATTGTTTTCAATAGAAAAATTATAGTAAGCCTGTGATATCGCTGCTAATCATTCCTACATGAAATAATCTCAGAGGAGTAACTGTGTTGGTCTGTAACTTTAAAAACAAGTAGTCTTGTGACAGATTAGAAACTGACAAAAATATATAGTAGCATGAGCTTTTTGGGTATGACCCACTTCATCAGATGAGTTTTTGAACTAGACGAGTAGAATCACCAAAATGAACAGGACAGACAAGAATAATTTTGATTTGTAAATGATCAGAATGAAAAATGCTTTTGTGAACTTCAGTTTTTCAGGTTTCCAGTGACTTCCAGCAGCAGATTAGGAACCTCATGAAGAAACAGGAAACTCTGCATACAAATTTCTCAACAAGGTTGCAAGACATGAAAGATAATTTGTGTCTTAAAGGGGAGGAAAAGAATAAGAATAATGGTAAACAGGATTGTTATGCTCATAGAGTTCTGACCTGTATTCCCAAATAGATACAGGATGGGCAATGGTTGTGCAATTTTCTCCATCCACTTTTCATAATGTCCCTAGACAATTAACTCTATCCTTGCATCAAAAGGGGCCACAATTGGGTGTGTGCAGTTAGTGGAGAGGTGAGACACAAGGGAATTGGGCACTCTCCTCTAGGCTAGTGATTGTGGTGCTTTTGCAGTGTTGACACCTGCCTCTTTAATAATTGGATTTTTGCTAACAAACTGATTTCTCCTGGGCCACAGAATAGCATCAAATGGTAACTGTTCACTAGACATGTTTCTCAGTGGGCTGCAGGACAGTGTGGGCAGTTAGATTTAAATTTCCAGTCAGTCCCTCTGGAGAATGAATTACAAAAGCAGCAGGTCTCTGGAGAAGCAGGAGTGCTTTGTGCCACACAACATAGAGCTAGGTGAATAGTGAATGTCCAAAGTGGCGACCAACATTATTTGAATGTGGACAGCATTCAGCCAAATTAACAAAAAAGGAAAATATTCACCTTGGTGAAAATGGCTCATTTTGGTAACTTTACATGAAATATTTCAACCCTTAGTTTCTAAATCACCTTGCTTTGAAATTTGTTTCACTCGATCCCCATGAATTTGTTTCAGTGAGAAAAAGATTGCTGTACTGATTTGAAATTATAATTTTTTTAAATTATTTTTCAGATGCTGAACAAATATAAACCAATTATTTACTTAGTTCCACTCAACAGTGTCCTCTTTGGTCAAATAAGGATCGATATTGATGGATCTTGTAGTGAATTCTATGGAATGTTAAGGCTATGTCTAGACTACAGGCTTCTTATGCAAGAAGTTTTTTGTGGAAAAGATCTTCTGCAACAACTTCTTGTGCAAGAGCGTGTCCACACTGCAAAAGCACATTGAAAAAATGATGCGCTTTTGCACAAAAGAGTATCCACACTGCATGGATACGCTTTCGAAAGAAAGCACTGATAGCTATCCACAGAATGGCCACCAGGGCACCTGTGCTTTTTCCTCTTTCCTGTTTCTGCACAAAAAAACCCTGTTGCCCATCCACACACACTTTTTTGCACAAGAACTCCTGCACAGAAAGAAGCTATTCCTCGTAGAAAGAGGAATAACTATTGTACAAAAAAAAACTTTCGTTTTTTTGCACAAAAATGCACTTGAGGTGTGGACGCTCTGCAAGTTTTTGAGCAAAACCTCTACCCAAGGGTAGAGCTGGACCAAATTTGGACTGGTCTAGACTACGCTGAAGTATTAGTCTCACATGATTACCTGTTCTGCCCTGAGGAATTAGGGTCACATACATTACAACTCTGCAAATTCTGTGTGTAATCAATCCAATGGCTGTAGCCTCCTGTATTCTCCGCTGACTTGCTTAAAATGAGAAACAAAGACAATTCCTCTCGTTTTGTAGGTCCCAGTTGTATACTCTGTCCTGTTAACTGGCAATGGATGGGAGGTGACACCTGCTTCTACATTTCAATGCAGAAGAAGTCCTGGGAAGAGAGCCGGCAGTTCTGTTCCTTACAGAATTCCACCCTTCTCATGCTAAAAGACAGGGAGAAACTGGTACAGTCCCAGTCCCAGAGTGTTCTATTTTATCTGTCCAGCCGAACCGCAGCGTTACGGACACCTCAGGAATGGAGGTTGTTTCTCATTCCACAGTGTTTGTCACCGAACACTCCGCTATGGGATGCTTCTCAGGGTGGACTGCTCAGAACAGAGGCTCAGATCCCTGCAGCAATTGCTTGGGAAGTGGGCTTGAAACAGGCAGCAGATCCCTGGCTGCAAGAGAGATGAAAGAAGCACACTGGGGTATCAGTGTCAGTGGGCATGCAGTGGAGTCTGTGGCCCTTTATCATTGAGCTGCTCCTCCACTGGGGGCATGTCTACACTGCAGCATTATTTCGAATTAAGAGAGTGTGTCTACACAGCAAGCCCCGTTATTTTGAAATAATTTCAAAATAACGGGCTTTTTATTCTAACTTCGGTAACCCTCAAGGAGTAAGGGAAGTCGGAGCAAGAGTGCTTTTCCTTCGACTGCCTGCTGTGTAGACAGTGTCAGAAGCCAAAATAAGCTACTTTGACTTCAGCTACACAATTAACGCAGCTCAAGTTGTGTAGTTTAACTCAACTTTAGCCCACAGAGTAGACGTACCCCCAGAGCGCAGACATGACCTCTGGCTCTACTGTGTGTAACTTTTCAGGAGTCTTTGCAAGACAAATTGTATGTTGGATATTATGACTCTATTGCCTCAGCATCCCCACAGTGTGGAACAATGCAGAGTACAGTGCATCTGTCAGTTACTGGATAAAAGGTGTTTGGAACTTACTGCCACAGGCTATTAGTAAAGCAAAGACTAGACCCAAGTCTCTCCGACTTTCCTGTGGTTATGAGCAAGGGGTTTTCCACAGGGGGCACTGCCTTCTGTCTGGTTCTTGAGTAGGTTGATCAGTGCTACGCAGGTAACACGTCCTGCTCTCCTGTTTGCTAGTGGGATTCAAGGGAAGGATTTCCACATTTCCATTCACCATGGTCCTGAAATGTGTTGACTCTTTTACACTGGGATAAAGTGGCCATCAAATGCTAGCACTCTGATCTGGTAAGTCTTACACGCACTGAATCCTGGGGTAAATAACATCACAAGCTGCAGGGAACCCTTGGTCTCCTATTGCCAGGTATCTGTTGGGAGGACTGGATTAGGTTTCAGATGTGAAGTGTAACATCCATTTTTGTTATTTTTCTTCTGCCTTCACATTACCAACTGTTTGTTTTCTTGCCAGGATCTCACTTTCCTCCTTTGTGCAATGTTACACAGGAACTGCCTTCTCAGTATCTAGTAAATACACAGAGAACCACGCAAAATATCTGTTATACCAAAAAGTCACTTATTCCCTCTGTCTCTATCTGCACAGAGACTTTTAAACAGAAAACTCTTCCTTGGAAGTCTCTCAAATAACATCCATTGCATGTTGTAGGGAGAGGGGCAGGGCCAAGTCTAAATATGTGGTAGTTCTCAGATCCTCAATTCGGTCATTAACTTCCAGTTATGTATTTGCTTCAGAGAAAACAAAATGCACATGCGAGGGGTGGGCGGAAGAGAAGAGTAGGAAATGAAAGGGGGAGAGACCATCCATCTCTGACTTGCTGGTCAGGTACTGAAAGGCCCCTGGCATGCAGGCCCGCCAACAGGGAATGGGAGGGCAAAGGGGGAAGTTGCCCCAGGGCTTGGTGATTCAAAGGAGCCCAGGGCTCCAGGCTGCCGTTGCTGCTACTGCAGCAGCAGCCCGAGCCCTTTCAATCACCTCCAGAGAGCTTCTTGTGGCTGGGGCATGAGCCATGCTCCATGTGGTGTGAAGGGCTGGCCGGTTCCATCCCTTCTGCCCAAGACCCCTTCCAGGACTGAAGAGCCACCCCCCTCACACACACCTTCTCCAGGGTCCCGCGCAGGCTGGCAGCTCCCCTGCTAGACACTGATGAATCCCAGCTGCAATTCCCTGGCTCAGGAAAAATCTGACTGGGTCATCCTGACTCGAATAATTCCTTAGGGAGCAAAGCTCCTATGGAATCACATCACACCAATATTTACAGCTTACCAGAGCCATTGCAGAAAAGGGCTGAGCCAAGCTCTCCAGAGGGCAAAGGGGAGACCTGAGAATAAGGCCAGGATGGAAACTGCACGTGAGGTAAGGAAACCGGAACATTTGGGGCATGTGTCAGGAACTGCTCAGCACACCGTCATGGAGAGTCAGCGTGCCCAGTCACATGGATTATGAAATCTGAGTAAAGGCCTAATGGGACTGTAAGTCTCTGCATGCAAAGAGCTCAGCCTGTCAATTTCCACTTGGATGCCTAAGATGCAGGACACACCCAGCAGGACATTCAAAGTGCCTAGGCACCTAACTGCCTTTAATTTTAATGGGGTCTAGGCACTTTTAAAACCCTACTAGGTACCTGTCTTCACCTTCAGGCCCCTGGCAATAGAGAGGTGACTTAAATCTGTGCTGCAATATTGAATTGTCTGAGAGGCTTGAGGGTCCGGTAATACACATTAGGAAGGGGGTGCCATGCCACTGGCCAGAAGTTTCCCAGTCACTGATTCACACAGGCAATTTTTTTAACCTACTCAACTGTGACAGATAAGAACTTGGGCTCTTTTGGGAAATAATGTGATTTCCCCACAGAACCACGTCCCTCCAAGAGATAAGTCTCAATATTACTGGATTGGTCTGCATAAATCTGAGAGTGCCGGCTGGCTGTGGGAGGATGGCTCAGATCTTTTGACAGAGAAAGCAGATTGGTAAGTTATAAATGCTTAGGACCAAACTGCAGCCTGTCCTGTGTGGTGGTGCAGTGGGAAAGGATGGGCCCTATGTACTCTCCTACACTGTCTGTGAAGTGACCAGAAGCACTAGCAGCTTCTGTAGGGCTGCTACTCCCTAGCCTATGTGGGTGAGGAAGGAATGGAGCGTTGATAATCACTCACGGGGCACTGACAGCACAGCTGAGCTGGCCTGTGGGGAGGGCAATCTGACCTAGTTGTAGGGCACATGCACATTACTTACACCAGGGAAATGGGCAGGCACGTACTAGGGATGTAAAAGTGTAGTCAATTAACTGATTTAAACTGGCTCCCCTCATGGCCTAGCTCCCACCTGGTACCCCACGCTGCTGTCTCTGATACAGATACAGAGGCAGCAGTGCAGAGAGGCAGGAAGCTCCTCAGGAGCGGGCCAGAGTGCAATGGCTGCCAGCCCCACCCCCAGGGACTATGAAATAGTTGGGTAGCCAATAAGAATGAACGAAGTTACTTGACTATTCAATTAACTGATATTTAACATCCCTAGCACATACTATGCCCCAAAGAGATGCAGAGTGCCAATGTCAAGACCTAATGAAATGATGCTTTGTTTTCTAGGATTGGCTCGTATCAATTTTATAGATGTGGCTACCTGCATGGACTGATGATTAGTAACCATGACTACTGCACAATGAAGCACTTCTGGATCTGTGAGAAAGCAGTTTTCAAACTAAGGTACGGCCACGTCACCAAAACAGACACTGGCTTGATCAGTAGGATGCAACAAACTCCACGTTTTGTTTTTGTGTGTGTATTTTTTGTTTCTGTGAGTCAGTCTGAAAGACTCCTAGTCTCCTATTCGAAGTGTGGGGAGAGAAGCACTGCACAAAAGGCAGATCACTAGGCACGGAACCACATAAGCTAGCCAGTGGGAGATGCTGTGGAGCAGCCTGGACAAGCCCTGCCCTTCTCACAAAACAGGCACCTAAGTCTAGCCTGCAAAAGGTGCCTAGCTGTGCTGCTCACTCTTCGCTCGAAACACTCTGTGGTGTTAGGCACCTAGACTGAGTTTGTAAGGAGCCCAAGGCATGGGGTGACATCCCTTGTGTGTTTCAGCCCCCTGGCTAGGGTACTCAGCTGGGATGTGGGGGGACCCCCCTGCAAGTTCCCTTTCACTTGGGAGGAGAAGGAGTTTTAACAGGCGTGTCCCACATCTCAGGTGAGTGCTGTGCAGCCTGGGCAATGGGACAGTCTCCTACTGTGGATAATGAGAGCAGGGGGACCGTCTCCTGAGTCCTGCACATCCCGGTGAATGCTGGCTCTCCTAGAGCCGCATGGGCCAGAGAGGGGGAGAGAGTGCAAGGATGATAATGACTCTTCAATGTAGCAGGCAGGGCACTGAGGCAGGATATGGCAGATTGAGGTGGAGGGTGACCAGGGTTCTCTTACGTGACCCAACCCAAACACTGGGCTAACAGTCATGAAGGGGAACCTGTCCCTGCTGCAGAATGCAAGAACTGCTGCCACTGGGCTCGCTCCCCTCATCCCTCTAGCCCTGGATCTTCTCTCCAGCAGTGGCCCACCTTGGCTTTGCAGGAGCGCACAAACTGGCCAGGTGCAGAGATCCACCCTGCCTTCACCTTCTAGATGCTGGTGATCAGAGGCTTAGAGTCACCCTGGGCATGGGACTACACACCTGATCAATGGCTAATAGTCACTGATGGACTACCTTGTCTAGTTCCTTTTTGATCATCACAATATCCCATGACAGTGAGAGCCACAAGTTATTTGTGCATTGTGTGAAAAATGCTTCTTGTTTGTATTAAACTTGCTGCATGCAAATTTCTTTGAGACACATGATTACTGTATTTTGAGAGAGGCCAAATGGCACTTCTCCATTCATTTTTCCACACCATTTTATAGACCTCTATCATATTCCCTTCCACTCTACCTCTTCCTGTCCTTGCTCTGCCCAATTCCCCTTAAAAAGCGACGAGGAATCCTGCGGCACCTTATAGACTAACCGAAGTGTTGGAGCATAAGCTTTCGTGGGCAAAGACCCACTTTGTCAGATGCAGGTAGTGGAAATTTCCAGAGGCAGGTATAAATATGCAGGCCAGTATCAGGCTAGAGATGACGAGGTGGATCCAATCAGGGAGGATGAGGCCCACTTCTAGTAGCTGATCTGGAGGTGTGAATATCAAGAGAGGAGAAGCTGCTTTTGTCCATGGTGGCTAGGATGGGGTTTTCTGGAAGATCACCAATGCATTGTAGTTTCCTCAGGAAATCAGTAGTGTCACGGAGGTAACTGGGAGTGCTGGTGGCGTAGGGTCTGAGTAGAGAGTCCACATATCCTGACAGTACTTCAGTGAGAGTGCCAATGCCCGAAACTGGACAGTAGGGACTGTCCAGTCATCAGCCAAACTGGACAGTCCCTACATAAAAGAATCAATGGACACAAATAAGATATTAGGAATGGCAATATACAAAAACCTTTAGGGGAACACTTCAATCTCCCTGGACACACAATTGCAGATCTAAAGGTAGCCATCCTGCAGCAAAAATCTCAAGATCAGACTTCAAAGAGAAACTGCTGAGCTACAGTTCATCTTCAAGTTTGACACAATCAACTCAGGATTAAACAAAGACTGTGAATGGCTTTCTAACTGCCAAAGCAGTTTCTCCTCTCTTGATATTCACACCTCCAGATCAGCTACTAGAAGTGGGCCTCATCCTCCCTGATTGGATCCACCTCATCATCTCCAGCCTGATCCTGGCCTGCATATTTATACCTGCCTCTGGAAATTTCCACTATATGCATCTGATGAAGTGGGTCTTTGCCCGCGAAAGCTTATGCTCCAACACTTCGGTTAGTCTATAAGGTGCCACAGGACTCCTCGTCGCTTTTGCAGATTCAAACTAACACGGCTACCCCTCTGATACTTGACAACACTTCCCCTTAGGTCTCCTCCCTGGAGCCCTCCTCCTCCCTTGTCCCCAAATGGCAATCCTCAGCGTATTTAGAAATAGCTATTTCGAAATAAGGCATGTGTAGATGCTCCACTGCTGCTATTTTGAAATAGCCCCTCACCGGGCCCATTTTCAGTTATTCCTCCTGAGGCTCTAAATCAACATAGCACATTAGGGAAGTGTTACCAGATTTGCCCAATACTCTGGGGTATGCTCATTTATTAGGGTTACTCTTATGGGGCTGGGGTGAGGTTAACAATTCTATCACTGTGTTGCTTGTGCTTATGTGTGCTCTCATATGGAGCTGAATTCTCCCTGCTGCCATTCCCCCTCCCACTGGAGCTCTCCTGCAGGAGCTAGGTTCCTCAGGAGGGGGTTCTTCCCACCTTAGCAACACACACAGACACTCACACGCACTAATGAGCATGCCTGAGAGGACTGGGTAATCAGCATGCACAAGCTGACCCCTCATATGTCCCTGGATGCAGCAGGCTGGGTTTAACAGCAATGCCACGCTGCACCCTCATGAGCCTTTGGACTCAGTGGGCTGGATTAAACAGCACTTTAAGCTGCCATCCTCATAAGCACCCCCTATCCCCACTTTTGCTCCACAATCATTCACTGGTAAACCACACAATTAGAAGCGTTGTTGCAGAGCAAATGGGGAAGCCAAAACAACACCCCTTGAGGAAGAGTGAGCGAAAGAGGAAGAAAGAGAGAGAAGCAACCAGCTTAACAATGAAAGTGATTTATTTCTGGGTAGTGAATATATAGCCAAACACACGTAACAGCCACAATATTAAATCTAAATTGGAACTGATTACAAATGTTAGGGCTAGCTAACCATATAACAGTTTACATAGAGCAGAGTCAGGAGGCTAGGCTTGGGCAGAGGGAGGGAGAGAGAGAGAGAGAGAGAGACCTCACCACTCCATGGAGCTTGCACTGAGCGGGGATTCCCAGATGGTGATGGTAGCTGGGGGTCCAGAGGGCAGGAGACAAGCAGAGCAGAGCCCCCAGCATGATCAGACAGGAGATGAAGAAGTCTCAATGGAACTGATGTGCTGTGTCTACATTGGCATGATTTTGCACAAAAGCCCCTGTTTTTGCACAAAATATTGCCACTTGTCTACACTGGCCACGAGTAATTGCTCAAGAACACTGATGTTCTAATGTATAAAAATCAATGCTTCTTGCGCAAATACTCTGATGTTCCCACTCAGGAATAAGCCCTCTTGCACAACTGGTCTTGCGCAAAATGGCCATCAGAGCTTTCTTGCGCAAGAGAGCGTGTACATTGGCATGGATGCTTTTGCGCAAAAGCACATCTCTTGCACAAAAGCACATGCCAGTGTAGACGCTCTCTTGTGCAAATGCTTTAACACAAAAACTCTTGCGTTAAAAGTATTTGCACAAAATCATGACAGTGTAGACGTAACCATGCAGTTTAAATCCAGGTATCAGAACAGCTTTTCTTGGGCAAGTGTAGGAGTTTTTATAGGGTTAAGACAATAGTTCAAGAGAACACTGGATTTGTTTATGGGTAAACAGAGGTGAGACAATAGAGACTAATCACCCCTGGTTATGGGTGATGTTCCTTGAAGGAGCTCACAAAGCAACTAGGCATTTTCAGTATTTTAGATGTCAATAGGATCATTACTAGAATTGGTCTGATAAACACTAATTTGGGTGTGAGCAGGCCTGGGTTCATTAGCATCTGGAGCAGAGATTTCCCATCAGGCAGTGCTTCTCTGCTTTTGGTATCCCATAGTTCACTGCGGTTCCTGCTTTGGAAGAGCTGGTCTCCATTCTGTATGCTAATGAAATGTCCCTCTTTTCTATCTTCAATGCAGATGAGGCGGGGGTGTTTCCTTAATTCTGTCACCCTTGTCTGAAGGAATTTAGGTGTGTCTTCCCCGGCCTTTTCATTGCTTTGTCTTTGATTCTAGCAGAGGGGGATGGTTTTCCATGAGTGTCACTCCTTGGCTCCCTAAGAGCACAGGTCTGGTAGGTAACAGGAAGCCTGCCTCAGACTAATTTTGAGGCTTCCCTGCAGTGTAGACATAGCCTTGCTGACCACACTCTTCCCAGTGCCTTCTTTGTTTTATCTTCCAATGCTGAGAGTGTGATGAGCTGGGAGAAATTGGCGAGATATAGCCGCATACAAATGTTTAGTGTATGTGGCCTGTAAATACCTTGCAAGGCTACAAGCTACCAAGGTGCCATGCAAATGCCTGCTCTCACTTTCAGGTAACACGAAATAAGATGCAGGCAGCATTATCTCCTATAAATGTAAACAAGTGTGTTTGTCTTCGCAATAGGGGCTGACTATTTTTTGTTTTTGCCAGTAGGCGCAGGTGCCTGCTAGCCCCTAGGCCCACTCCATGCTACTTCTTCCTGTCCCCATTCTGCCCTTGGAGCACTCCCTCCCCCAAAAATGGCAATTCTCAGAGTATGTAGACACTTTTCACACATTAGTTATTGCATGTATCTATCATTGGTCTCTTAACAATGTCAGCATTAAAATAGTAACAAGCAGCATATTACCATGACCTATAGTGTGTTAAAATATTTGCACTCGGCTACATGCTGTCTTTGCTTACATCCCAGTGTAAGGGCATTACCTTCCCTCTGTGTTTCACCCCTGCATGGGGCCTGCTGGAGAGCTGAGGACCGCTGATGGCAATAGGAAGAAGGTAGATGGGAGAGACAAGCCATGGGGGGGGGGGAGGGTTTCTCTTACCCTTTCTCTTTACCCACTACTTCTATTGCTCTCTGCCCATGACCTTTCATGTCTTCTCTAGGACCCGGCTCCCGTTCCTGATATATCCCCCTTCTTGCTTCCCACTCATGTCCCTTTCCCATCTATCTGCTCCCCACGTCCTTGAGGTAGGAGAGATTGCCTAGTAGTTAAGGCGTAGGCCTGGACCTTGGGAGCTCTGGGATTGGTACTCTGATCTGCCACAGACTCCCTGCTTAGCCTTGGGAAGGTTACTTTACTTCTGAGCTTCCTAGATCATTCAAATGAGACTAAAACTAACCCTGCCTTCGAGGCTAGATCTTTCATGACTGTGTGATGATGGGGGTGTAGCAGGTTGGATCACAGAGATCTCTTTGAGCTTGTCACCCAATGAGCTGGTCATACCAGTGAGACTTGCCCACTGGCTTTGTGGGGTGTCCCAGCACCCTATTCCCAGCCAGAAACTCTGGTCTCCCCTAGCAAAGGTGCAGCATGATACAGATTGGGGGGAGGGATAGCTCAGTGGTTTGAGCATTGGCCTACTAAACCCAGGGTTATGAGTTCAATCCTTGTGGAGGCTATTTAGGGATTTGGGGCAAAAATTTGTCAGGGATGGTACTTGGTCCTGCTGTGAAGGCAGGGGACTGGACTCAATGACCTTTCAAGGTCCCTTCCAGTTCTAGGAGATAGATAGAAACTGAACAGCTCAGCTCTGAGAGGGCTCAGTTATAGGGACTTGATAACATCCAGGAACAAAGGGACCAAAACTCCAAATAAATGTCCTGTTGGGTGTAAACATTTTACCTAGAGTAAGTTCGTAAAGATGTTCCCTCCCTTGATCAGTGAAAGAGATGCATAGCTGTTGTCCTGTCCCATACCGCCCCTCCCCCCAACCTGGGTAGCAATTAATTATACTGGGCTTAATCATAAACAAAAGTGTTTAAATATAAAATGTAGGATTTAAGTGATTGCAAGTGAAAACAGAGATCAAAGTTAAGCTACTAAGCAAAAATAAAACAAAACACATGAGCTAAATCTAATACCCCAAGACAATGGTAGGCAAATTCCAGCCTCCAGGCCAGATCCGGTTTAACCCTTGGTGGGCCCCCACCTCTGTGTTTACCTGCGCCTCTGCAGGTATTGGACAAGCACAGCTCTCGTTGGCTGTGAATCGCTGTTCGTGGCCAATGTGAGTGGCAGGAAGCAGTGTCCTGGCCCATGCTGCTTCCCACCACTCACAATGGCAATTCATGGCCAACAAGAGCTGCGATCGTCCAATACCTGCAAAAGCGCAAGTAAACACAGCAGCGGTAGCCTGCCAGGGACTGACTCTGGAGAGATGCCTTTTTCCCCCTATTTTATTGCCCACCCTCTGCATTAAGAGAAATTGTTACAAATCATATTCCTCACCCTAGTTCTTATTTCAGGTGCAGTTCTTCACAAGTAAGAGCTGATATTTTTCTCTGACTTGGGTCCAGCAATGCTCCTTCACCCCTGTCATTACAGTTCTTTCTTTTTTCCAGGTGTTCTTGTGCATCCTCTTAGGGTAGGGAGGCAGTTTCAAAAGCCAACCGAAGACCTTCATTGATTGCTCCCCTTCCCTGGAATCTTTTGTTCAATTCTCCCCTCCCTGCCGAAGAATATAAAATTCCATATGGATTCCAGCACCAGCTGGTGTAATCATGTGTCTCTATAGCACCAAACACAGTTTGGGCTTATAGGAAAAAAAAAACATTCACAGATCATTGCCTTCAGCACTGGGCCATTAAGTTCCTTAAATACCACTAATGTCTTTCTCCAGTGGTGTGTCTAGACTACATGGCTCCGTCAACGGAGCCATGTAAAGTAGTTTACCTGACATAGTCAATGAAGCGGGGATTTAAATAATCCCCGCTTCCTTAACATAAAAATGTCCACCGCGCTGTGCCAACAATCAGCTGATCCAGCAGAGTGCAGCAGTCTAGACGTGGATCGGTTGACAAGGGTAAACCTCATTTCACGAGGCATAAGGGAGCAGTCAACAAAGGCTTCCCTTGTTGACCAATCCATGTCTAGACTGCTGCGCTGTGCCGGATCAGCTGATTGTCAGCACAGCGTGGCGGCCATTTTTATTTTAAGGAAGCGGGGATTATTTAAATCTCCGCTTCATTGACTATGTCAGGTAAACTACTTTACATGGCTCCATCGATGGAGCCATGTAGTCTAGACACACTCTAGACGACTTCGATTAATAAGCAGGTTTAAACTTCATATTTCTAACATCATATCCAAGAATGACACATGCACACAAATAGAATATACACATTAAGGGGATTATAAGCTCTTCAATGAGAGGTTACATAACACATTTTATATAAAGTATATTTGAATTATGTGTGGTCAGTGTGAAAGAAGCTATTTGCATATATATTTGCATGTATATGTAACTGCACTTAAGTTGCAGCCCTCAGCATGTGCTATGAGTATCATTGTGTCCCCCGGGGCTTCCAAAGTTGAGTAGCCCTGTAACAGAGCTTTTCCAGCTCTAAAATCTGTGGTTTTATGAAAAAACAAAAAGCTGAATACATAGAACTTCCCACTTATCACTAAATAGATATCACTTAGCATTTCCTGTCACTCTCCCAAAAGAAATATATTTGTGTCAGATGGGCCAGAATCAGTCAAAACAGTGTCTCTAAAAGATTCTCCTGTAGCACTTGAATGACCCTGGAAGCACAGAAAACAGGGCTATCTCACAGACACCATTTTGTGGCACTGTTTGCACTCAGTGACTGCCATCAGTCATTCTGAAACAACAAATGCATGATCTAAAGCAGTGGTTCCCAACCTTTTTGAGCATATGGATTCCTTTTCAATCTGTTCACATTTTACAGACCCCCAAGGGGAGCAGCATAAAGTGGTGGCCAGCACATCCCTTGGCCCGTGCTGCTCTCTCAACTCCCACCTCCTCCATCCCTTGCCCACCCACGGAGGATATGGCGAGGGGGGAGTCTCATGGCCAAAAGTAGCTCCTACCCTGGCATTCTGCCCTTGGCCGGGCATGGAGCCCAAGAAAAGAAAAGAAAAGAAAAGAAAAGAAAAAGACAAATAAGCATCAGGCCTCTGCAGGACTGGGAGGGGGATAGGGCTGGAGTGTAAACAGCAGTGCAGCTGGCAGCAGGAGGATGGAAGGTGCCTCGTGGGGTCTCAAGTTCCCATCCTGAGGGTGGAAGGTAGCAAGTGTGCTGATGGTTACAAACGGCGAGCCCCGGGCGAGACTCGCCTGGGAGAAAGTCCCAGTCCTGCAGTGGGCCTGATTCTAACTTTTCTTTTCCTTTCCTTTCCTAAACTTTCCACACACCTCCTACAGTACCGTCGTGGACCCTCAGGGGTCTTCAGACCAGAGGTTGGGAACCACTGATCTAAGGACTGTGGGTACTATTAAACTGTCCTCATATGCATAACTATGTCTATATAGCATTAGACAAAAGGTACTGGATTGCATTATTATCTCATTGCAAAGGCCTGGCTGCTTTTGGGGAAATGCAACTCTTTCTTCACCACAAATAGATTGGTAAATGTTGATGATCTAGGTCAAGGGTTCTCAAACTTCATCACATCTCGGCGCTCTTCTGACAACTAAAATTAGTACCTGACCCCTGAGAAGGGAACTGAAGGACCATTTTAATTGAGTGAATAGAAAACCTTGGAAACTCACTGTTCAGATAAAAGGGCTAAACACCATGGCTAGATTTAAAAACGAATTGAATCATTGCAGGGTTATCAGGGCTAAACACCATGGCTAGATTTAAAAATGAATTGAATCATTGCAGGGTTATCATAATGTTCATAATTATGTAATTGGAAAAGAGCATAAAAATCAATTTCTGTGACGAATGTTTTTTGGGATGACTCCTGAAGGCCACTCAGAAATGTCAGGCAATGAAGCAAGTAGCTGCTGTCTCCCATGCTGTTGATTCTGCAATGGAATATGCACAGTCCCCATGGGCTCAAATGACTGCACTGGCTTCCCAGCTCAATGCAAAGTAGTGTATTGGTGTTCATCTAAAAAGGTCATTTGGGGCTGGATGGCTTATACAATACTGACCTGTTCTTTCCTTTGTTTTCCCCAGCACATGAGAGAGAGAGAGAACTTGAGAGGTGCCAGTACCCACATGCATTCTTCTGGATTTGCAGGGTTCTCCATGGAGGGCTCTGCTCTCTGAAATGTACTGTCTCACTCATCTAACCAAGGGTTGCCCTGCATATGTGTTGCATTTGTGTCACTGGGCCAGAGCGGGCTGATGTGGCATTTTGTTGTCAAAAATTGTGATGGGTCTTAGATGCAGATTTTTAGTTCAGTTGCATTTTGAACACGTTGTATTGTACTCTTTTAAAATGTACATGCTGAGGTATTGTATATTACTGCACAGGGATAAAATATTGCAGGGGCCTTTCCTGTACTGTACAGGCACTTTGATCTTTGGTGAGGTGTCATTTAAAAAATTGAATAAAAATAGTATCTGTTACTTCCATGGCAGCCTGTGTGTGCATCACAGAAAACCCTTGTGTGTGTGTTCTTGTTAAGAGGGAGACCAGCTGGACTGCACCATGTAAAAGTCCCTGGTTCCAGCTGCAGCTGAATAATATCAGGGGAATGTTGACTATGGATGTCAGCTCCTCCTTCCTTCATCAGAAAGGCTAGCGGGTTCTTGCGCAAGAACATCTTGTGCAAGGGTTCTTGTGCGAGAATTCTTGTGCAAGAACACATCCACACTGCCATGTGCTTTTGCGCAAGAACATCCATGGCAGTGTGGATGCTCTCTTGCACAAGAAAGGTCTGATGGCCATTTTAGCCATAGGGCTTTCTTGCACAAGAAACCCCTGCCGTGTATCCACACTGCCCTCTCGCAGGAGCTGTTGCACAAGAGGGCTTACACTTGTTAGAAAAGATTTGCAGAGATTAGCTCTTGTGCAAGAAGCCCTCTCTTCCCACACTTTACTGTAAATCTTTTGGCACAAGAGCGGGCGGTCAGTGTGGACGTTCTGGGGAAGAACGGCCATTCTTGCACAAGAACCCGCCAGTGTAGACATAGCCACAGAGTAGCATTCTCCCTCCAATGGTCACCTCCACACCAGGGCTCTTATTAAACGGCACGCTTTACCCCTCAATGCATTTTCCTTCCTGATTAAATGAACTTTAACCAAAGAGCCCACATTCACTTTTCATTGACGTTTATACAAACAAGACTGCAGGATCATAAAAGAAAGAAGAAAGAGACATAAGCAAGGCTATATATAAGTACAGTTCAGCATTTCAGCCACTGTCAAAAATACATTTATGGTTTTTGTCAGCGGCAATTATTCTGAAAATGCCCTTCCAGTAGATATGGGGATCACTATGAGGGGATACATATCACACTAACGTGGAGAGGACTGAATTCCATTTTTAATTGTGGCCCATGGGTCAGTGAACACATTTAGGACATCAAACATCCCACCATCCATAGTGGAACTCCCACTGATGTCGCATGGTGAGCTAATGAAACTTCTTTGAAATGCAGTACTGAAATTGTTTGCTGAAAAATAGTTTTCGATGACTGATCTTTCATTGGAAAGAATCTCGGCTCTAGGATAGAATTTCCAGTCAAAGCCAAAGCCTAGATAGTAGAGAAAACGTGATCTGCCAGGCTAGCCAACACCCGAGTGGTTAATGATAATCCCCTAGGATGTGGGAGCTCTAGGTCAAATCATCACTGAGGCTACGTCTAGACTGCAAGCCTCTTTTGAAAGAGGCTTTTTCAAAAGATACTAGTGAAAAAGCCTCTTTTGAAAAAGAGCATCTAGACTGCAACCAGTACTTTCGAAAAAGAAAGTCGCTTTCTCGAAAGAGAGCACCCAGGCAGTCTTGATGCTCTCTTTCAAAAAAGCAGTTTGCATTACATAGCACCTTTTTCAAAAAAAGGCATTACTCCTCGTAAAATGAGGTTTTCCGTGGTCGAAAAAATAGCTGCGTTCTTTCAATTTACTTTCGAAAGAACGCGGCAGCAATCTAGACACAGAGGAAGTTTTTTCGAAAAAAGACCACTTTTTTCGAAAAAACCCTGTAGTCTAGACATACCGAGACTCAAAGTACAAAAGGGCACACACATCACCTTGAGAAAGGGTAAAAATGGTAAAAAAGATTGATGGTCTTACGCCTATTGCGACATAGGCGATACACCTAATGCATTGAGATGCCTTCATCGAGTAACATCTTGTTGAGTTAATGATCTTTGAAAGAAAGAAAGAAAGAAAGAAAGAAAGAAAGAAAGAAAGAAAGAAAGAAAGAAAGAAAGAAAGAAAGAAAGAAAGAAAGAAAGAAAGAAAGAAAGAAAGAAAGAAAGAAAGAAAGAAAGAAAGAAAGAAAGAAAGAAAGAAAGAAAGAAAGAAAGAAAGAAAGAAAGAAAGAAAGAAAGAAAGAAAGAAAGAAAGAAAGAAAGAAAGAAAGAAAGAAAGAAAGAAAGAAAGAAAGAAAGAAAGAAAGAAAGAAAGAAAGAAAGAAAGAAAGAAAGAAAGAAAGAAAGAAAGAAAGAAAGAAAGAAAGAAAGAAAGAAAGAAAGAAAGAAAGAAAGAAAGAAAGAAAGAAAGAAAGAAAGAAAGAAAGAAAGAAAGAAAGAAAGAAAGAAAGAAAGAAAGAAAGAAAGAAAGAAAGAAAGAAAGAAAGAAAGAAAGAAAGAAAGAAAGAAAGAAAGAAAGAAAGAAAGAAAGAAAGAAAGAAAGAAAGAAAGAAAGAAAGAAAGAAAGAAAGAAAGAAAGAAAGAAAGAAAGAAAGAAAGAAAGAAAGAAAGAAAGAAAGAAAGAAAGAAAGAAAGAAAGAAAGAAAGAAAGAAAGAAAGAAAGAAAGAAAGAAAGAAAGAAAGAAAGAAAGAAAGAAAGAAAGAAAGAAAGAAAGAAAGAAAGAAAGAAAGAAAGAAAGAAAGAAAGAAAGAAAGAAAGAAAGAAAGAAAGAAAGAAAGAAAGAAAGAAAGAAAGAAAGAAAGAAAGAAAGAAAGAAAGAAAGAAAGAAAGAAAGAAAGAAAGAAAGAAAGAAAGAAAGAAAGAAAGAAAGAAAGAAAGAAAGAAAGAAAGAAAGAAAGAAAGAAAGAAAGAAACCAGGAAAACAGGCTTCCAGCAGTCAGATGAGAAGGATGTTCTCACATTCAGAATCTATTTCCATTCAGAAGTCATGATTTATTTATGTGGTCTGACCATATAAAGCCAGATTCTGTTCAATAAATACAGCTTTTACAGATATTTTCCACCTGCTGGTGACAGTTGTGTATCGACTGAACTCAGATGTTGATTCCATCTACTTTTCTGTCTTCCTGCTTTTTTGCATTTTATTCTGAAGAATATGATTTCACTTGAGAAATAAGTAATTGTTCCTTTCTGTTACTACCAGGAATAAAAGTGAATGTTTATATTTAATTAGTAGTGCCACTGTATTGGCTCTGTAACACAAGGGTAATTCCTTAAAGCAAGTCTCTGCTCTGGAAAGCTGTATCACCTGTGTATATGCAGAGTCAGAGCTGCAGAGCTGAGGGGCACATATCAGTAGAGCTGTTTGCCTAAAGAAGGGAAGATGCCCCCTATATGCATTAACAGAACTGCTGAGTTTCAAACAGTGACACTTGTGCAGTTCATGGGCTTGTACAGGCCTGCCACAGCATGTCAGTGTCACAAAGGGGGGAGGCACTCTGGATCCATTTAAGAAAACATCGTGTGACACTGGGATGCTTTTCATCACAATTTCGATTCTGGTTCCTGTGATAACAGCCAGGTCAGCAGCAGGCTGAACTTCAGAGGGGGGTGGGGTAGGGTGGGGGGAGATAGGGAGCCTATTTTATTAGATAGGACAGGTAACTTATTAAAATAAGTGTGTTTTCCATCACTCTGGTTTCTAGTTGAATTTCTCACCTTTCTGAAAGAGCCCTTCTTCTGAGATATTATAAGTGCCCACAAGAGCTGTGTGGTTTACAGGAAAGATGATTTAAGGTAAAACTGTTAAATCAGAGTTCATTGCTCCTTTGCTTGAGAATATGGGATTTCTGAGCAGTCAGTTTTTGGGGCTGGATATCATAGAATCCTAGGGCTGCAAGAGATCTCAAGATGTCATTGAGTCCAGCCCCCTGCCCAAGTAGGACCAATCCCAACTACAGGCAGTCCCCGGGTTACATGGATCCGACTTACATCGGATC